TATATATGTATATATATATATATATATGTATATGTATACGTATACATATACTTACACATATGGGCCTTTGTTACTTGAAGACCTAAGAGCAAGGTTAGGGATAAGCACTTAGCAGTCTCTCATTCTCTGCAGGTAGACCAGTTGTCGGTGTCTGTGTTAATACCATGTCCTCCTATAAGCAGCTTCTGGTGAGGGTTGAGTAATACACTAGACTATGGGTATAACAATAAATCATTGGGAGTTGGTTCAAGCTACCCTGTAGAGCTATAGTCATAAACCAGCATGGTACTAGCATTTAGACAGACACATTGAGCAGTGAAATAAAACTGAGGGCCCAGATATAAGTGTGCATGCCTACATCCACCTGACTTTTGACTAAGAGAAAGAAAACACACATTGTTGGAAAGACAGTATCTCTAACAAATGGTGATGGGCAAACTGGAGAGCTACATAGAGAAGGAAACTAGATCCTTCTCTCTTCTGGACTGCACAAAACCTAACTCCAAATGGATCAAGGACCTCAAAATAGCAGCTGACCCCCTTGTGTCCCGTGGAGGAGAAAGGAAAGAATATTCTTCAGCCATAGGCTCAGGATAGACTGTCTAAACAGGGCCAGCAATAGAGGGAGGCATAGTAGTATTTTTATGCCCTAGTTACAAAATTCTTATGTGGAGGTATTTCCCATCCTTTCTCACCACCACCCACCCCAAAAATAACAGTAATCTGTTTCACATTTAGTTCAACAATGAATCTAAAAATATTGGAGGGAGTAGCATCATGATAGAGGTCAGTTGTTGTTAATGTTGTTGCTTTCCAAATAGACATTAAATTGGGATTGCTTTCCCTACTGCTGTGATAAAATTCCATGACAAAAGCAATTAAAGGGAGGAAGGGATTATTTGCCTCACAATTCTAGGATGCAGTCCATTGATGCAAGAAAATCAAGGCAGTAGTTAGTCTCATTGTGCCCACAGTCAGGAGCAGAGAACAATAAATGAATGCATGCATAACTATGCTCAGTTCACGTCTCCTTTTCATTCAGCCCGAGGCCCATTCTATGACATACTCCTGACCGAGTTCATCATGTGTCTTCTAACCTCGATAAACCCAATTAAGATAGTCATGAGGACAGGCCAACTTAATCTACACAATTCCTTATTGAGGCTTCCTTCACAGGTCATTCTATATTGTGTCAAATCAATAATCAAAACTAATCAGGGGTACTGGAGAGACAGCTCAGAGATGAAGAGCCTGGCTGCTCTTCCAGAGGACCTGGGTTCAGTTCCCAGAACCTACACAGAGGCACCAGACATACACATGGTACCCAGACATAAAAGCAAGCAAAAACATCCACACACATAAAATAAAATGTAAAACTAAGCAACAAAAATCTGTTCCAGACAACAACTAAAACCCAACTGCCACTGGGGTGCTGGATGATGTTAGTTCCTTCCCAATATGGAGTTTTCTTATCTTTGGTTAGTTTGAGAGTTGGAAAAACTTGTTGCCGTAGACTTGGACTGAGGTAACAGTCTTCATGAAGTCCACCTGAGATAAGTCTTGATAACAACTCTTCATGCTTCTCTACTTTGCCTCATCTCTGTGAGTGAGCATTCCAAGGGTCCCAAAGGACTTCCTCTTCCTCCTTTCTTTCCTCCTCTTTGCTTTCTCAGAGAATAGTTGACCACGCGATAAGATGGATTCTGTTTAGTGTGGAGTTTTGGATGTTTTTGTAGTAGTTGATAACTACCACAAATGAAATGTACAAGAGCCCAGGGTGGAATTCTCTTTGTGAACTCCAGGTTTTTTGCTGTTCACCTCTGTGGGTCAGCTCCTCAGAAATGTGCTCCTTGGTTTCTATTTGTGTTCTGTCTTGTTGTTATGAAATAGGCTCTCACCGCATAGGTCAGGCTGACCTTGAACTTAATATTGTAGGCCATGCAGGCCTCAGCCTCCCCAGTGATAAGATTACAGGCTTGTACTGCCATCCCTTGTGTGTTTTTAATTCTTTTATATCATCTTATCTTTGGTGGTTTGAGGACCACAGCTGTCTTGGTAGAAACTGCTGAGTGGGAGTCATTGCTGCTACCTCCCTCGTCTCTAGGAGGTTAAGCCTTGAGGTTCCAGCTACTGCAGCAGCTTTCTGATGCTGTAGAGTAATCTTCTTATATGTCATCTGAATTTTTCAGTTGTTTCCAATAATAACATTAGACTATTCTATGCCAGTCTACTCTAGGTACCTCAGTTGGTCTATCTTCCTCAACAAACTCATTAAAAACTTGCTTCATGACAGTTTTTGTAACTGATCTTAGGAAAGCCTTGGAAGCTATGACAACTCTGGATGTTCAGTCATGGAGAAAGCTTTGGAGCAAGACATTATGGGCTTCGTTTCAACTCTATTATTTAGTAACTGTTCAACAATGAGCTTAAATACTTTCAGATGGCAAACATTAAACAAGATAGCACACACCAAGTCCCTTGTATATAACAGGCACCTGTTGAGGTACATAACACAGCTCTTACCCTTAGATGATCATATGATTATATATAAACCATCTGAATCGAAGATCTTTTAAAAATATACTTTAAGTGCTTCATATTGAGCTGAGGAACTGAGAGGCCCAGAAGTGGTTAAGTGACTTGGTCAATATCAGTCTACTCATCCGCGTTTATTTAAATGGCCTAAAATTGGGCATTCCCTCGATTCTAACAGGCCTCTAACTTCCATGCTCAATTATAAATGTGAGGAAGAGACAAGTATTAATGTTTTATTGCCACTGGCTCATTTTGACTAAACTCCACAGACCTATTTTTAAATATTTTATTTTAATATCCATCTCCACAAGGTACTTGACTTCCTGCCAGCTGAGACTGAAATAGCTGCTTCCCATTCCTTTTCCATTTCGAGCCTTGTGTCCTGGAGCTTTCACCCCTCTGTGTGTCATTAAATTGTGTTCCATCCTATTATCTAGAGGAGAAGACTGAGTGGAACGCATATAAAACCACAGGGAGCACTCTCCTTGTTCCCAAGTGTGTAGCAGAGTCTCCCAACTTTATCTACAACACAAGTACTTGTTGTTCTTCTGGGCACCAAATGGAACCTTCTGATGGGTGGGACAAAGTCGCCAGCCACCATACCCTTGTGTTTACCAGCTAAGATAACACCTCTGATGACCCCTTCTGAGTGACCCTCTACTGAATTCCAGGGGGACTGAAGAATGGGGATGAGTTTCACATCATAGTTGTTTGATAGAAATAAAAATATTGACATCAAGGGGCCCTAATTCATCTGTGGAAGGTAACAAGTTATGTGAATTCTTCAATTCCTTCTTCATGCTGGCTGAAGCATCATCTATTTTTTTTTAATCCCCTAGTTTAACTTTTGGAACGACCCCTGGTTACAGTAAGTCATTATCTGCAACTCTTCCTTGGCATCCGCTTTGAAAATCATATCTAAGAACAGTCTTAATAAAGGAAGATTCATGTATGAGTATAGAGAGCCCTGATTATCATTTTTTACCCAACTTTTACCAGGAAAACTGCTAATTGCTGTTTCCTGTGCCACCAATCAGTTCACTTAGCTGTTTCTTAAGGACCCAAGAAAAATCACTCTTTTAGGAGTGCTCAAAATCAGATGGGAAGGAGACAATCTCTCCTTTGCTTTCATTACAACTTGGTTCCCCCAAAGTGAATGTTCTCATGTAAAACCCATTTCTCCCCATGCTTGGGTAGACGGTTAACTCAAAGGAGAAATAATAGTGCCTGGCTGTTTGCCACCAGCTCGCTAGGGACTGGGGAACAAAGACAAGCTCATTGGACATGTGTCTAGCCTCCCCCCTCCCTCCCTTCCTTTCCCTTAGCCTTTTCCTTCCTTAACTATGTCTGGTCTAGACTCAGCTTGGCCTGCGGAGAGTGTGGCAAGTGTTTCCGAGGAAGGGCAGTTGGAACGTGTGTGCAGGGCACTGCACCACCAGCTGTGGCTGGAGGTGAGAAAGTGGGGGATAGTTGCCACCGACAGTGATCGCCCTGAAACAGGGTAGAAGACCCACCCACTTCTCATTTTTAGACTTGCAATGTGAGCACAGAAGACTTCTGTTTTAGTTCCTTTGTTATTTACGTTGTTGTTGTTGTTGTTTGTCTTGCTCACAGGACAGCTCACACTAGACCAAAAGGGGCTCCCCACCTACACAGCATTTTCTCCCCGTTTTCCTATTTTCAGAGCAGGTTCACAGCCCTACATCCTCCCCTGCCTCATCATTAAGAGTAATTCAGGGTTTAATTCTGTAATTATTACATGTATTTTCTTTAAAATGAGAATGTACGATAGATACTCCCGTGTGCGTGCGTGTGTGTGTGTGTGTGTGTGTGTGTGTGTGTGTGTGTGTGTGTGTCTTATTCATGTATATGTGGTTCACCTGTACAAATCAGTGGACAACTTTCCTGTCAATTCTCACTCTTCTTCCATCTTTATCCAGGATTCCTTCATTAGGCTAGCTGGACAGACAGCTTCTAGAGTTTCTCATGTCCCCAGCTTCTATCTCCCTTGGGATTACAGACCCTTGGACAACTGCCTCTACTTTTACTTGGGTTCTAGGGACCCACAATCGGGTGATCAGGTTTACATGGCCAGCCCTTTTACCTGCCAGGATCTCTCCTGAATCACAATAATTATTTCTTTATCAGACCTGTGTTGTCTGCTCAGTGTCCAGCTAACAATGGTACCTGAGAGAGAATAGTGTTTTAAATATAGACACACTAGAGCTGGTGAGATGGCTCAGTGGGTAAAATCACTTGCCACCAACTTGACCCACATTCAATCCCCAGAAGGAAAGAATAGTCCAAGCTGCCCTCTGCCCTCTACTCATGCCCTGTGGCACATGTGTGCCCACACACTCACAAAATAAATAATAAATAAATAAATGTACTAGAATGAATATATACTCTATATTAACTATAAGTTACTCTACCTAATTATCTTCCAATCTTTCTTTTTATTCCAGATAATCAATAACAGATTTCAAGATCATCCAATCCAACACACAGGGGTAGACGTCTGACTGCTTCCCCGTGAGTAGACTTTGTTTCTCTGGGCTCTGCTCGCAGTAATTATACAACCTTTCTGCCTGACTTGCTAAACTCTTGCATGTAAAGGACATCATGAAAAACCAGGCTGCTGCTGCCCTTGTCATATAGCAGACACTCCGTGGATCAGGTGCCTGCCTGCTGCAGCCCTTGTCCTTTAGTTGGCACTCAGAGGACCGAGTACCCTGCCTGCTGCAGCCCTTGTTTAGTTGGAACTCAGTGAGTCAGGTAGAATCTATCAATGTTTCGAGGAATATTTTCCTGGTTTGGAACGACTTTCTGTCTTATTTCCCTCTCTTCAGTAATGACCTCGTTACCCCCTGTGACTGTCACCTTGAGGCACTAAAGAGAGTGCCTCAGCCACCTGGAGTCCACAAGCTCCCCATTGTGAAAAGACCAGTGATTTGAGTGATTTGAGGCGCAATACACAACCTGCTCTTTCAACAAGCATAGCCGTTGCTGTGATAAAACGCCAAGGCCAAAAGCAGCTTGAAGACAAAAGTGTTTCTTTCAGCTCGTAGCTCCAGAGGGGTGAGAGTCCCTCATGAGGGAGCAGAAAGGTTGAGTCAGGTGTATGTGATAGGTAGGGTTTCAGTTGGGGGGGTGGTAGGGGAGGACGGGAGGGAGAAGGGAACTGGGATTGTCATCTAATTCAATCTTGTTTGTAATTATAAAAAAAAAAAAAAAAAAAAAAAAAAAAAGAGTCCCTCATGCTGGGAAGCATGATGGTGAGAGGCAGGAGCAGGAAGCTGAGCCATCACACTTCAAGGGTAATCAGGAAGCAGAGAGTAAGCTGTCAGTGGGGTGAGGCTCTAACACCCCCGCCCCCAGTGATGCACTTCCTGCAGCAAGGATCCACATCCTAAATGGTCCATAGTCTCCCCAAACAACATCTCCAGTCAGGGACCAAGCTTTAAATACATGTGACTGGGGGCGGGGTGGTGTTTCCTATTTAACCACCACAAGCCTATCTGCAGAAGCTCCCAAGGAGCACAAAGAGAGGCCTTCTAACCGAAAGCTAAGGAAGGTGGGGGGGGGGGGGGGGCGCTTCATTGAAAGAAGGTTTTTCAGGAAATTAGCACTGCACCGTTCTCAGGCAATTATCGCTCCAGCATGTCAGTTGTTCCCTGTTCCTCTTGCTCCTTTCTTTCTTCCTCATGTCCTTGCTTCTCTTTTAGCAGAAGCTCTGGAGGGGTGGTGTGGAGGGGTGGTGTGTGTGTGTGTGTGTGTGTGTGTGTGTGTGTGTGTGTGTGTGTGTGGACTGTGTGACTATCGGCAGAAAAGACTATCAGAGGTCTGTCTGCAAACCCCTTCTCTGGATACCCCACCCTTCTTCAAGTACCTCCCGAACTTCCTTCCTTATGACCCTAAAGCCAGGAAAGAGATGCCCATCATTATGGAGGTATGGCAAAATACCACTTGACTCTGGAATTTTACACAGATTTCTATTTCTATAAAATAGGAAATTTTGAAGGAAAGAGCTGTGCCGGGGTGCATTGCAGTGAACCATGGCCAGCGGCCAGCATAGGTGACTCCCAACTGTGTTTCATTAAGTTTAGTCACCTGACAGGCTTGAAGAAAAAGACCATTTTCCTGTGAGCATGTGAAAGGCGTGCTTTGAGTTGTAATCACCCAGAAGCCTTTGCTCTTGTTTCAGAGCAGCATGAATGGGAGACTTTATAACCACCGTGGGCCAGTATGTTGAGAAACAGTTGAGGCTCCAGATGGAAAGAGAAGTTTAGGAATTTGTTTTCTTCCGTTTTTTCCTTGAGTTTTACAGAATAAGTTCCCCTAGACACACTTCACAAAGTGTTTGGTCTCCTATTTAGCTCAGATTTGCTCAAATGTGTTATATATAGTAGAATTTAAATGTAAAATATGATGTTTCTTTATGAATTTCTGGGAATGTGTAGAATGAGGCTTGAGGGGGAAGGCCTGGAACCCACATCTATCCAGGAGTCTCCCCTACAGGAGGCTGCTCCTGGTCTTTGTCAGGAGACACAAGGCACACTCAGAGTCAGTGTGGGTGTTGCCATATTTGGCTAGGGTTGAGGAGACACAGGAACACAGATTCTCAGGGTCTTCCCACCTTCTCCTTGGTTAGGAGAATATGAAGAAATCCTAGCCAGTCACATGATGGTGTTTCCCTTGCCAAGAAATTACACTTGGCTTTCGGAGGCACTTCCATGAGAGCTCACACCCTTACCCAGAGCAGCTTCTAACAGAAGAGAATGCCAGGGTTTATGGTTAGAGCGGGCACAAGCATCGGGGGGAAAGGCAGGTGATGGTGCCAGGAGCCCTGCCTACATTTCCTTCCCAGCCCTGGTTCCCATGTGCGTGGTGAATGATTGGCCTATTTATGTCTGAAACACAACTATCAAAAGTCTCACCTGGAGTTCCAAAATAGTAAGATCAGACTCCACGGACTCCTAAACTCTTCTTACCTCTGTCCTGACTCAGTGCCACAACCCTCCAGTAAGAGAAAAAAATTCTCGACTTGGATGGGGCGGAGGGTGGCAGTGGGTTGAGACGGTTTCCTTCCTACTATTTTCTACGCCCCAGGTCCAACAATGCCAAATTAAATCTCGATTCCATCGAGTTTTCTGAGAGGAAAGGGCAGAGTTGCATTCCTTAAAACGGATATTTTAGGCTAAAGTTATTACTTGGGGGGAGATTCCCCCCTTCTCCTAATTCTAAACAAAAAGTCCATCATTCATTCTAACACCAGCATTTAAGAGCTGGAGACAGATGGAGTCTGAGTATTCACGCCAGTGCGGTACAAATGAGCTGTGATCTCAGGATGTTGGCTGCTCCACTGACAGGGGGAAAGAGGGGTTTAATATCTTTGGCTGAAAACACTTTCTAAAAGGATGGAGAAGGCCAACATTAATATTGAGTCCTGTTATTTAATAACTAAAAATGATGTATTGTGGATGGGGGCATCCGAAGACTGGAGGAAAGCCTGTTCCCCAAACCCAGAAAACGGAGAATGGGAGCCGATGCCAAAGCACTGGGCTTTAAGGAAAGGAACCATTCTAAGAGCATTTTCTTTAAGATGGTAGAAGACGTTCCCCCATAAGTATTTATAACCATGATTTTTAACTTGATTCCTTGAAACAAATTTTTCAAAATTCATAAATGCAGGTTAATTCATAAATGCCTTACAATGGCTGCATTTAGGATTCCTTGACTTTACAATGGTGCAAAAGCCATGTGCACTGATTAGAAACTGTGTTTCCAGTTTGGCACTTGGATCTGTTTCCAGGCTAGCAACCTGCAGTCTGATGCTCTAACAATGCTGGGTACCACAGCTCCAGCCCCACCTGACCATCATGTGATCAAACAGCCGATGCACACGGTCATACTGAAGCTGTCATGCTTGGTAGGCAGGGTGAAGTGAACACATTTTCAGGTTACAGCAGCTTCATCAGCACAATGTGAACCAAGGAGAATTTATCTAAAGACGTTTGTCACAAAGGAAGACTCTGGGGACTTTAAACTGCCTCTCCCAGGCAAATGGCCAGTAGTTGGTAAATTAAAGATGTAATTATAAGTTGAGGGTGGGGAGGAAGGCTGTGGCTGCCACTTCCTCCAACATTCATCTTCCTGGCTGAGTCATTCATCCTACAGACATACATTGATTAGGATCACCTCCCCACCCCACCCCCCCAAGTGCTATTTTAGGCCTAGGCTAGCAATTCCAGTTCCTTTCCTAGGAAATGAACCCTTTCTAAAAACTCAGTGCAACAGAGAACTTGGTGAATCCAGTAATGTACTCACTGATGTAAAATGTGGTGTCTGATAGTCTTTACATAGTTTTCATTGGCCTCATTCCATCGAGGTCACAAGAGTTTAAATTTCTTTGTCCCCCTCATCTACCTATAATATGTCATCATGTGGTTTTAGGTAAACCTAAAATGCAATGTACCATGATGTCTGTGTCGTTCTTCCTCTGAAGTCACTTTTTAAGGTGACGTCCCTACATTATTTGTTTCCAGAATTATGGTTTTGGAACGGGCATTTAAAGGACAGAAGAGGACCGTAGTGAAATTGAAAAAGCACAGGAAGGCTGCCCGTGGCATTTGAATGGATTGTTCATAAAAATCCTAGGCGAGGGACCAGAAGCAGACTCTTGTGAAGGCGGTGGGGCCTCTCATCGGGATAGGGCCCTGACACAACTCCAGGTCCAATGTCTTCCACTTAATAGCACATCCTGTCTTTTAAATAAGGTCCTCAAAATAACCCACAAATCCTAGATCTCCCCAGAAATGGACACAGATGAATGATTTAGATCATGTCAAAAGCTAATTAAGTGAGCCAGGCAAAGACATGGCCCAAGTGTGAAGTGCAGTGGTTTGCTTTTTTAAGAGTTTAGAATGCATTCGGCTTGTTTTCTCAAGTGTCCCCCACTTAAGTGAAATAATAAACCAGTTTGCCGAAGCACAAATGAACACAAACAAGAGATTCATTTTTACTTCATTAATAAACATAAAGTATGAAGTTACCCTCACAGCAATCGAGCCAAACCCTCTGACAGGAAACGGCTCCTGGGAAGACTTTGTAGGCGCATATAAATCCTTCCAGACCATCACATGATCATTTCATCACTCGGGTCCTTGCCCCTGTGTCCCTTGTTTCAGCCATCTGCAGGTCTTGCGTAGCCGAGAAGTACAATTGAAAACACACACAGTGGGAACAGGTTACCTGATTATTAATCCCAGGTCTACCATTAACTAACTGTGTACCTTTTGTGACTAACTCACTTTCTCTGAGTTTTGATATCTCTGTATAAGAAGTGAGGATGATAAAGATTGTTACAAGGACCTAACACTGGCATTTATAAACTTCTTCTATTAGCTGAATCATTATTTTTTGGTCTAAATGAAGCATGTGTGGGATCATATTAAGCTCATTATGAGTCCACTTGTAGCTTTATACAGAGGTGGGACTGGCTTATGATTAGTCATCAGTGAAAAACTGCACAACTGGTCCCAAACCTGCAACTGGAAGTCCATGGTGCCCTGAAAATGCACTTCCTTGGACAGCATGTTTTTTTTATGTGTTTTGTTTGTTTGTTTGTTTGTTTGTTTGGTTGGTTGGTTGGTTGGTTGGTTGGTTTTCGTTTTGGTTGTTGCTGTTGCTTTGTTTTGTTTGTTCACGTTTTGAACCGGAATGTTTTGGGATGCATATGTTTTGTATTTATCCAAAAGTCACCACTTGTAAAACATTTCACTTCTTTAAAGGCGTTTGGTTTGCCATGCCTGGTATAAATGAATGGTCACGTGATAAGCAAGTACTCCTAGGATGAGGAGTGCACAGTGAGGTGCTTCGATATCCCCTCTTAGTCTTGAGTATTTTCTGTGATATAGATGCATGGAAATATTTGCTGAATTGAATTTATTGGAAAACATCAAGTAATACAATACACTTCTTCACTTCCACACAAGGGCTTTTCCCACCCATCCAGCTCCCGTTTGCTCCCTGTAGCTTCTAACATCGAAGCCTAATGTTGAACAGCTTCAAATCCAATTAAAGCAAAGAGAAATTAGGAAATACTTGAATAGCCAAGCCAGCTAGTATTGAATATCAAGAGCAGCATTGGCGGTTATGGGGTAGCCATTGAGTAAGTGGGATGGGTGTGGTGATTCATGCCTGGAATACTAGCACTCGGGAGGCAGAGGCAGGAAGATGACTACAAGTTCCTGGTCGATACAGTGAGTTCCATGCCAGCAGAGCTGTATAGTGGGGATAGGGGGAGGAGTGTTCTGTGTTAATGATAAGAGTTGAGCCAGATTCTAGAGGAAAAAAAAAATATGAGACTGGGGTGGCCGGGGTGGGGGTGGGGGGTTGAGCAGTGGGCACTTCAGGACACAGGAGAGCAACAACAGGGCCCAGAGTATGAAATGGGAGTACATAGTTCCAAGTCTCATGAGTTTGGCCTGGCTAAGAGCTGTGTTTATTTGTGAGGGTGAAACACGAGATGCAGCCATGTGAAGGCTACAGAGGCTGGTGGCCCATGGGAGGGAGGTTATCCTTTCTCAGCAGCCCCTCAGACACCTGAACCTCCCAGTCACTAGCCCTCTCAGTGATAGGCACTCTCCAGAAACCCTAGGTGCCCAGCAGCTCCCCTGACCTATAAGGCTTGCTAAATGAGGATAGTAGTGAGCCTGCTTCCAGCTTTAAGGCATGTTTTGATCACTTCTTCTACCAAAGGATAATCAAGTTGAAGTGAGACAGCCTCTCCTTGCTAGGGTCAGTTCAAACTTTTTTTTTTTTTGTGGCTATGTAACATCTGTTTTTAAAATTTGACTGAGACCCTGACTTAAATCCATTTAACTAAAAAAAAAAAAAAAAAAACAGCAAGAGAACATCTTGTTTTCATGGATGCTCCGAGCCTGTATGTCAACAAATAAAAGGTCAGTTTGTAGTATTCAGAGTGGAAGAGCTGCTTGTGATATACCCTGCCACAGGGATAAATTTCTCAAGAGCTGGAATTGGGAAGCAAAAGTTTGAAAGCATGGGGGACCAGTTTTGTTTCAATCAGGGAATTTCTTCTTGCTGGTGGGTGACAAACATGCTTTTAATTGTCAGAAGGTCATTGACTTTGTCCCCCATGGCCAAGTCTTTAGAAGAGAGGAATCGAAAGGATTTGTGTTTATTTACTTTCACTTAGAGGACTGTGTCTGGCATGCAACAGGTGTCAATTGATATTTGATGAACGAACACAAACGCTAGTGTTTCTGTTCCTTTATGAGTGCCATCCTATGTATGAATATCCCCCAGTTAGCAGTTAGCATCCACAATTCATTCTGACAATGAAGAAACCATTAGACCCTTCCCACAGCTCACTCTCGTAGTAGCTGGGGTTTACTTAGCTCAGTTTTGGTTTTGATTGCTGCCTGTCTCCACTGTCAGCTGTAAGCATGGTTGGGGTCAGGTGGTGTAGGTACAGTCACACCTTCTATCCATGCCACAGTTTGTGTTGTATAGCTGTGATAAAACACTGAGACGAAGCAGCCTGGGAGTAAAAGGTTTATTTTGTTTATATATCTTAGGTCACAGTCCTTCATTAGGGAGAGTCTGGGTAGGAACTCAAGGCAGGAACCTGGAGACAGGGAGTAGAGAAGGAACTATGGAGGGCTGCTCACCAGCTTTTCCCTGGGCTCACTTTCAGCTGCCTCCAAGGACCACCTGAGCAGGCCTGGCACTGCCACAGAAGGCTGGACCCACTCACATCAATGATTAGTTGAGACAATACCCCAGAGACTTGACCAAGGTTAATCTCATGGAGGCATTTTGTTTTCTTTTTATTTTTTTAATTTAAATTACAAACAAGCTTGTTTTACATGTCAATCCCAGTTCCCTCTTCCTCCCCTCTTCCCCTGCCCCCCGTTAACACCCTACCTATCCCATACCCTTTCTGCTCCCCAGGGAGGGTGAGGCCTTCCATGGGGGGGGTCTTCAGAGTCTATCCTATCCTTTGGGATAGGGCCTAGGCCCTCCCCCATGTGTCTAGGCTCAGGGAGTATCCCTCTATGTGGAATGGGTTCCCAAAGTTCATTCCTATGCTAGGGATAAGTACTGATCTACTACCAGAGGCCCCATAGATTTCTGAGGTCTCCTCACTGACTCCCACATTCACGGGGTCTGGATCAGTCCTATGCTGGTTTCCCAGCTATCAGTCTGGGGACCATGAGCTCCCCCTTGTTCAGGTCAGCTGTTTCTGTGGGTTCCACCAGCCTGGTCTTGTCCCCTTTGCTCATCACTCCTCCCTCTCTGCAACTGGGTCCAAGAGTTCAGTTCAGTGTTTAGCTGTGGGTGTCTGCTTTTACTTCCACCAACTACTAGATGAAGGCTCTCAGATGGCATGTAAGGTAGTCATCAATACGCAGGCATTTTATAAACTATGGTTCTCTTCCCAGATGGTCCTAGCTTGTGCCACTGGGGGAAAAAAAAAACAAAAACAAAACAAAACAAAAAAAAAAAAAAACAGCACACCATATGAAGCATCTGGTTACACGGCTGACACTTCATAAATACTTATTGACTGCTTTTTGCTGACACTATCCTTGTGGTGACAATTATAGACCTTCAACCACTCTTGATTATAGCTTGGTTCAAACACAATGAGGAAGACAAAGGAGCTTATAATACAACTGAACATAAAAGGACTTTTTGTATGATGACATATTCACGTTCATTTAACCATACATTCCTTCCATAAAAAAATGCATACTGAAAACCCTGGTGGGATGGGTTAGTCAAACCTATCTGTATTTTCTCAACTTAAACTTGTCAAGTTGCATCTGCCATGCAGGCTATAGTTAATGTTATAAGATAGCAGTAGTTTCAGACTGCTTAAAAACATTATTTGCTATATTTGTGAGTGTTTTTATGTATGTATGTGTGTGCACCATGTGTGTGTGTTCAGTGAATGAGGATCAGAAGAGGTCATTGGATCCCCTGAAACTAGTGTCACGGGGCTGTTGTTAGCCACTATGTGGGCTATGGAACTGAGCAAGAGGCCTCTACAAGAGCAACACACGCTCTTAACTGCGGAGCCATCTCTTCAGCCCCAGCTTCAGATTTTTTTAATCTCTCAAACAATTAACTCATTCCAGTGGAATTGGACTTGTGAGACATTATCTTTATTATCAAGAAATTCTGGCTCCCCAGCCTACCTGGTAAAGGCAGTCAGTAAGATATTTTGGCAACTGATAGGCACATGACTTTATGTCCACAGCCACTTGTTCAGTGGTCATACTTCACCTTGAGTGGGAACAGGGTGAGCTCATTCCTGCCATCTCATTTTTGCTGCTTATGTGGACAGGGTTGACACTGGAATGGTCTGTGAGTCCTGACACTTCCCAAGAGAAATGCCTGTTTGTTTACAAGAGGTGAAATTCCACAACAGTTTTAATATTATTATTATTTGTATATTTGAAAACATTCCCAAAGAAACAATGTGGATGCAGAAAAAATATTGGCAGGAGGGGAGTGGAGAAAAGAAAAATAATACTCCGAATTCTGACCAATTCTATTTTAATGGGTGGAGCGGACTGCCAGCTGGCCACAGGGCTGACTACTTGTAATCTATACTTTGGTAGGCCACATGTAGTTCTTGGAACTGTTTATATCAAGCTGCTGAAATTTAATTATTCTAAACTTGGCAGGACTCTCTTTGATTACTTGATACAAAATTGCTTAGTCATCTTTCTACAGCATGTGGACAACTTTTGTTTAAGTGTGAATAATTGAAAAATGCAAATGAGCTCCCCAAAAGGTTTAAGGTCAGGTAGAAAAACAGAAGTTATGTTTTTTAAAAAGTTGGGTTTTTTTTGGGGGGGAGGCTGGAGAGATGACTCAGAGGTTAAGAGCATTGACTGCTCTTCCAGAGGTCCTGAGTTCAATTCCCAGCAACCACATGGTGGCTCATAACCATCCGTTATGAGATCTGGTGTCCTCTTCTGGTGTGCAGATATACATGGAAGCAGAATGTTGTATACATAATAAATAAAATCTTTAAAAAAATTTTTTTTCCAAGATCCTTTAGCAAGCAAGTTGTGGCCACATGTTTTAATTTGACAAACGAGGTCCTGTCAGATGGAAGTCCTTAATTACAGATCCCCTTTCCCTCTTCCCTTTGTGGATTTTGTCAGAAGCCAAACCTGCTGCCTGTGGCTTCTTAGGTTGGGTTCTGCTCCTACATTTTGCAAAGCATGGGCTTTTTAGCAAGAGGACAGAAAAATCAAGAATCAGTCCTGAGGAAAGAGCTTTCTTGTGCTCAGAGACAAATCTGGATGTTGCTGGAGCTGGGAGGCACAGAGACCTGCTTTTGACTGTCCTGGGTTGGCTGTGGATCTTGCCATCCTGGAGATGACTTACCTTTCAAATGCAGAGCAGCTTTACAGCGTGGGAGGAAACAGGGAGACACAAGAGTACTCTTCCCTGTATCTTAAAAATCTAGGTGGTACCCAGGGTCCCCATTTTCTTCCTGGGAATGCTCATGGCAACCTCACATTCTTCTGGTGAAGATAAAAGTTCTCTGACCACTGATAAGCCCTGTGTGGCCACTGGGTTATGAAGCCTGGCCCGGGAAATGGAGGCTCATAAGCAAACATTCAGAACTATGCCTTCTGTTTCTAATTACCGAGCATGGTTAGAGAGCGAAATCGGGCTACGCTTTTTTTTTTTTCCCCAGACCGATGGAAGCAGTTAAATGAGCTCTCAATGTCAGTGTTTTCTAATTATGATGGAGGAGTGGCATTTCCAAAAGCCATGGAAACTTGAAGCTTTTCAGTTTCAAGCCTGACTCTCATCTTTCCTCGTGGATGTCTTCTTTTTGTCTTTGAATCCTCTTTCTTCCGATACAGATGTCTATTTACACCCTCCTTCCCGAGACTGAGTGCACTTCTGTCTAGTACAAGGTTATTCCTCTACAGAGGAAAAAACACACAACTATAATCAATTATAAAGTAGGGCTCCATTCGACCACCAACACCAACCCCAAGGTCCCTAGGAGTTACACTGGAAAGGAGGCCTTTAGATAATGCCAATGCTGCTTGTCTGTGTGCCAGTTAGTTTCAGTAAATAAGCAATGCCCTGTGATATATTGCAGTCTAGTAAGCATGAAATAAGTGGCTGAGTAGAAGAAAAGTAATTGGCTAAGAACTTTGAAGGGTAACAAAAGTTATCACCTGGAGGAATCCACCATCATCAGAGAAGACAGACCTGTACCCAGGAAGTCACAAGTAAGCTATACACAAAGTTCATGGTAGGAATTTATTACTGGATTAATTCTAGACTCAAGTTAGTGAGTGTGTTGGTTTTTAGCAAGTCCCCAGTGTGAGCCATTTCTTTTATAAAGAAAAGTCTAGATATTCCCCACTAACAAAGTAGTTGGACCTGCTGTTTGAGGGGCTCATGTGGAAAGAAGAAAACATGTTCCAATTCATTTCATCTGTCAGTTTGTATGCTTGACTTATGTAACTGTTGTGTCCAAAAGACTTAATGGATCATGTCTGTTGGTTTGGTTTCAGCACTTTTCATTGTAGATTATAAATTTCTCGAAACAGTTTCTTAGTGGGTTCATACATTGCAGAGATGCATTTGATGACCAAGACAAACAGAAGCTGAAACATGTACTAAGGAACAATTTATGTGTGACTAATATACTAGCTGTCCTTCACAAAAAGCATTGCCCAACACAAAATGCCTCTACGATACACCTTGTAGTTGTCCCTGGTAGCAAAAATGGGTCTGCATCCTGCCTTCTCCATTCTCTCAACCTGGCTGTGAATCTGATATTTGCCACCAGACTAGTAGTGGTTATGGAACAAACCAAGCACAAAGAGCAGACACATGCCAGGCAGTGAGTAAAATGATCAGGTCAGAAGTATGGGGTCTCAGGACCTTCTTCTGATTTCCTAATAAACCACTCTGGGACCATGTCACTAAGTGTGAAGAGTGATCTTTATTCAGGAAACACCCTAGCCTCTTTTGAATTTGCCAGTCATTTTACTTTCTCAGTCGCCAGTGCCTTATCAAACAACACTGACCCATCCAAAAGATGCCCACAGGACTGCAGAGAGGCACCAACAAGAAAATCTAGAGATACTTCGTGCTTCTAGGTGAGGGTCTGTAATCACACTTCACATTTTGTTAATTCTTCCACATGTGTGCATATGTGTTACTGTGTGTGCATGTGTGGGTCCATGTGTGCTTACTTGGATGCCAGAGACAACCTTGGTGTCAATTTTCTGGAGCCTTCTACCTTGGTGGTTTTGGAGCAGAGCCTCTCACTGGGATCCAGATTTCACTGATCAGGCTAAGCTGACTGCTCAGAAGCCTCAAGAATCTGCCAGTCCCTGCCTCCTAAGCCCTGGAATTATATATGATTGACCATTGACCTTTAAAAAAAAACTCAAATGCTCATGGAATAAGGTATCTTTCAGCCCCATTTTCTGATTTGTTTGTTTGTTTGAAGACAGAGTTTCACTATATAGCCCTGGTTGTATGAACTTACTATGTAGACCAGTCTGGCCTCACACTAACAGAGATGTACCTGCCTCTGCCTCCCAAAGGCTAGGATTAAAGTGTGTGTCACTATACCCGGCTTCATTTTCTGAATTTTTATGCAGCCTCTAAATGTATGTGATTTTGAGCACCTGGAATGGGGCTAGTAAAGCTGAGGAAGTTAATTTTAATTTCAATGAATTTTGATTTATTTATATTTAACTGACTGGACAACATAGACTTATGTGGTTAAAAATCTTTTAGACTTTAGCCAGCCTTTAATCCCAGCACTCGGGAGGCAGAGGCAGGCGGATCTCTGTGAGTTGGAGACCAGCCTGGTCTACAAAGCTACACAGAGAAACCCTGTCTCAAAAAAAACTTTTCACAAATGGCCATTATCACCTCATATTACTTAATTTTCTTATTGCTATGACAAATGCAACTTACAGAAGGAAGAGTTTATTTTGTCTCAGTTGAAGGAGGGGTGTCATCCATCGTGACAAGGAAATCATGAAAAAGCAGGTGACTGATGGATCACTTTGTGTCTGCAGTCAAGAAGCAGAATAGACTGAAGTGGAGCTGCCTATCAAACCTCAAGGCCCAACCCCAGTGACTGTGTCCTCCAGCAAGGCTCCACCCCCTAAAGGTTCTACAACTTCCCAAAGCAGCCTTACCAGCTGGGAAAAAGTGTTCTAATGAGTGAGCCTATGGGGGATACGCCACATTCAAACCATAGCCCACTTCTACCCTACCCTTTCCCGGGATGGGAGTTCACACCTCAGTAGTATTTCTCTCTCAGTTGCAGGCACCTAATCCATGAGAATCCTTGGGTAATTGTATTGGTGCCAGCTCTCACTTGACATCTGGATTATGTCTAATAATTCTGTCTATGCTTTTGTTATCGACATACACATTTAGAGGGTACATTCAGACCTTTTCTCCCTTTTAGCAAATATGTATATTAATTTAAATCACATGGGTATAGTTAATAGAGAACTTCTATCTTTGGCTTAGAGCTCACCACTGACATTGACTTTTTCTGGGGTCTAAGAAAATATCAGAATCCATGTGCTGAGTCTTACTAACCTGTCCCTTTCAGTCTAACTCCCTTTAGTATACCAAGGAAAACAACTCAACTTTTAAACAAGGGACAGAAACATGGTTGTCTATGTTTTCCCTTCTCCTCATCATTCTAAACAGCTTTCAGGTTGGTCTAGGAATTAGTCCAATATCAATCCTGGTTTCCTACTTGTGTGCTATGGTTCAGAAGCTAACGCCAAAGTTTCCTATTCCTCAGTGTCGTTTCTTGAAATGGGCATGAATTTCCTGTTCGAACTTGAGCAGATCAAATAATGATAATGATTATCAAATAATGATAATCTCAGAGTTTTGAGAAACATAGGAAGCATGCAAATGAAGGTGGTGCTGTTCATGCTGACACTTCAAGATGCCACTCACAGCCATTAACCATGTTGCCTTTCCAAGTGGGAGATACAAATAGCGTCATTATATAATTCCACACTGGCCAGCTTCCAAAAGGTCAAAGAAAGGTCTAGGAAACATTGCCATGAGTAGTGTGATAGCCAGCATGTTTACTGCTTCACAGATGGGGGGAATGCAAATGGAGAAAAGGTGTTATGATAAATCTTTCCGCCAAAAGCTGCCGAGCCCCACCGCCACGTGTGCACTTTACGCCAGCCGCCCGCCCGAGTTAGGGCCCCAATTAATACACAGAGAGACTTGTATTAGTTACAAATGCTGCTTGGCCACCGACTAGGATTCTCATCTGTTAGCTCAGTCTCAATTATCATAAATCTATATTTTTATAAGACTTATCTTATCAGACGCCTTATTGGAGTCCCCCCTTGCCGGTGACTCACATCCTGCCACTGGAGGAGGTGAAGAGGAAAGAGGGCACTTCCTCTTTCTCCATGCTATGTCACTTCCTGCCTGGAACACCACTTCTCAACTACATTTCCCAGAATCCTCTTTGACTCCTAGTCCTGTAAAACTTGCTGTTTCATTGGCCAAACAGAACTTTATTAAACAATCAATAAGATAAACATACACAGTACATTCCCCATCAAAAAGGTGCTTTGAGTAGACTGAACAGAGAGGAAGAGGGAAAGCCAGGCCATAGCCTGTTAAGATTCCTTAGAGGGCTTTGTACATGGAAGCCCAGTGGTTAGGAGTGAAGCTACGAAGTGATAACGCAAGACTCCTCAACCTGACTGTTTCAATTTTTACAGCCATGTTGCAGGTCTTGAGAAATGTGCTCTGGTGATGACTCTATTTTTCAAGTAGCACAAAGTTTTGGAACAAGACGGTGAAGGTTGAGCTAAAGTTAAGTCCAAACTGTTCATTACAACTCATTTGTTTATTTGGTTTTTAATTCCCCAAAGAATTACTTGGTTTAGAAAAGAGCAAAGCAAATTGATTAATTGTTTTTTTTTTAATAACCAGAGTTCCTTTCTAAAGTCATAAAGAAAACACTGCAGATTTGCTGTGGAACTACTGCAAACGTGCATTTACATAACTTCTGAGATTCATATATAACCTAGTACCAAGGCCTTTGATTTGCTTTGTAAACACTACAATTAATAAAGTGCAGAGAGATGAATTGAGTATAGAAATTAAATTCCTATGCTCAAAATGATGAAATCTAGTATAAAAATGCATTGACTCAAACAAGGTGCAATTCCTAAGTGCCTGCTATGGCCCAATCATGAAGAGTTTGTTTTTATGGGCCTATTTCATGAAAACACATGAAAAGTAAAATATCAATACAGTACTGAATGCTACTTAAAGAAAATAACTGATGAGCTATAGCAATGATGAAATTATCAATTGTCAAAATGAGTTATGGACCCAAGGAGGGGGGAATGTTACTTTTAAGGAAGGTCTTCATTTGGGCATCATTGAGGAGATGAAATTTGAGTCTGGAGTTAATGACTGGATAGAATCTAATAGTGAAGAGAGAAAGGGAGCTTATTCCAGACGGGTGGGAGAGAATAAATGAAAACACTGTATGAGAAAATTGAAAAACGCATCTTTGTACACACACACACACACACACACACACACACACACACACACACACACCTCGGATGCCATGACACTATCAGCTTGAAGAAGAATTAGTGATTTCTAAGTCATAAGATTTTTAAAAATAATCTACTTTGCATTTAAGTCATTTATACTTAGAGAAAAAATGGGTATGCCATGCTTAGCCCTTCATCTTTACCAGAGAGGAGACCAGGAATAAAGCCGCAGCCTTCTATGGAGTAGGTTGAGTCTTTGAATGTCATCTGGCCCAACTATCTCACTCACAGAGAAGAAAACTCAGAGAGTTTTGTTTTTGTTTCTTCCAGTCTCCTATGTCTAAGTTTGGGACTTTGTTGGGCAGACAAGGTTCATAAAGGCAACAGTTAAATAACTGAAGTCAGTACAGATACTTTGAAGAGCAGTGATGGAGAATCTACTGGGATGTATTGTACCCAGAAATCACCCAATATCTGTCTGATGAAGAAAAGCATTCCCAAGTTGCAGCAATGGCACAGGTGATATTAAAACAAATCTTTGGAAGAGACAAAAATATGCCCCTGACTTTCTCCCATAAAGCTCTGAATTCTGAGAACAAAAGTCGGTTAGTCTCTTTTATTCTGCTATAACAAAATGCCTGGTGCTAAATTTTTATAAAGAAGAAGTAGCTCCTGCTCAGTCATTCTTGTAAAGGCATCATGGTGGATGGCATCACAATGGCCAGGGTACCTGCAGGAAGAGATCTTCCTCATCGAGATAGGAAATCAGAGAGCAGGAAAGCACCAATCATACTCTTATAGCTGTTCAGGTGAGAGACCTACTGGGGTCCTTTGAGAATTACCTTAGTTATTTTCCAACTTCAGGGTCTCAGGGCCTGTCTAACCTTCTACTGTAATGATAAATCTTTCTGCCAAGCCACCAGAGCCCTGCCACCACGTTAAGGTCCCAAATAACATACAGAGACTTATATTACGTACAATGCTGCTGGCCAATAACTAGGATTTCTTATCTGCTAGCTCAGTCTTAATTATCAACCATAATCACTAATCTATATATTTATAAAGACTTATCTGATCGAGGATGCCATCAGCATGTGCCCTCTCTTGCTCACATGATGGCTCCAGAGAAGAGAGGGGGAGGAAGAGAAAGATTTCCTGCTTGTCTCTGCTTATATTCTGAGTCTGCCTGCTATGGCACTTCCTGTCTGGAACACAAGACTTCTCTTACCATTTCCCAGAATTCTCCTCGGCTCCTATTCCCACCTATCTTTCTGCCTCATTGGCTGAACAGTGTGCTTTGTTCAACAACCAACAAGATAAACATACACAGAAGGACCTTCCCCATCATTCTACCAAGGTCCTCCTCTTAAATGTCTCACCACCTCTTAATGTCATCTTATCAGGAACCAAATTTCTATCAAACCCTAGCAGCTAGAGCCAGACAGAAGAAGCTTGAGGAGAGATGAAACTGAGACAAATGTAAAGAAGTACAGCATCCGGGAAGACAAACCCTTCTTCCCATTGTTGTTGCATTCTAGTGCTATAGTTTTGAGGTCACCACAGTAATGTCATATAAAATTGTTTATTGGATACTGTTAATGTAAGTGATTTTGTGAGGCTTCATTGTATGCAAAACTAGTTTTAGGGGTTAGAGATGGATCAACACCTAACAGCGTTTGCTGCTCTTGCTGAAGACCCAAGTTTGGTTCCCAGCACCCACACTGGAGGCTCGCAAATGTCTATAATTCAGATCCAGTACCTTCTGCTGGCCTTTTCCAGTACTTGCACTCAAGTTCATATTATATACCTACACACAGACAACCACTCATGCATATAATTAAAAATAAAACAAGTCTTTTTTTTTAAAGCTAGCTTAAAAAGAGCTTATCTAATGATGGTCACAAGTGTTGGAAGACCAGAGTTCCTGGCAATGGTAGAGAGATGCTTACAGTGAGGACGAGGACATAGCAAGTTAGATGGAGAAGATACATGATAAAGAAGGTGTGGTATCAGAGAAAAAAATTTAAAATATCAAAGATATGACACTTTAAGATATACCAGCATGGTATTAAATATCATATTATCCCATAAAAACCTACATAAAGCACTTATGAGAGATCTTTTGTGACTTGCCAACTCCCTGGTTTAAGTGGAAGTAAGTCTGAAGGCAAGGGGGCTTTAAAGGGCATTCTGATCTCAGCTCTACAGTACAAGAATTAAGTTGGACAAACGTCATCTCAGAACTGTTCAAAGACACTTCTAATTGCTCTCTCAAACAACTACCAGATTAGCCCTAGAACAGTATAATAATTGAGCACATACTTTGACAGTCTATATGTTGGGGAGGTTATAACAGCCACCTCATAATTGCCTTTTTTTTTAACATAGCAGAGCTACCTAGTTATGGAAAGATTTGGAAGAAGTTGAACATAGTGGCACATGCCTGTAGTCCCGGCACTTGGAGAGTTAAGACAAAGAGGTTCATTCAGACCAGGTTGGGCTACATAGTAAGTCTGAGGGTCTGAGCTAAATGAGACTCTGTCTCAGAAAAATAGAGACAGAAGAAATGTAAAATCTTTTTTGGTTGTTGTTTTGTTTTGGTTTTTTTGTTTGTTTGTTTTTTCAAGACAGGGTTTCTCTGTGGCTTTGGAGACTGTCCTGGACCTAGCTCTTGTAGACCAGGCTGGTCTCGAACTCAAAGAGATCTGCCTGCTTCTGCCTCCCAAGTGCTGGGACTAAAGGCCTGTGCCACCACCGCCTGGCTGAAATGTAAAATCTATTGTTACTGAAAGAAGCCAGTGTGAAGAGGTCATCCACACAGTGGGTGATTCTGAGAACATGACACTCTGGAAAAGCCAAAGTTACAAAGGCATAAAAAGATCATGGCTCAGGGTTTGTGTGAGGAAGAAGGGGATAGATGGAGCATGGGTGATTCATGGTAAGGAGGTTATTCTATATGGTGAACACATGACAGCTGCATGTCACAAAATCACAGAGTGTTCTCTATGGAGTTGAGTACATATTAGCCTCAGATTATCAACTGTAACACATGTACTATAGTCCTGCAAGATGTTAGAAACAGAGCATTTATTTTCCTACGGCTGCTGTAACAAAAGCCCCACAGTATGGGAGGTTTGAGGTCTCAAGGCAAGTGGCAGACAAGACCGTGTTCTCTCTGAAGACACTAAGGAAGGATTCATGTCATTCTATAGTCTCCACCTTCTCATGGCATTCTGTGTCTTCAAATTACCTTCCCTTTGTATCTGTTCCCCTTTGTACCACATTTTCTTTCTTTCTTTTTTGTTGGGTGGTAGTGGCACACACCTTTAGTCCTATCACTTGGGAGGCAGAGGCAGTTGGATCTCTGTGAGTTCGAGACCAGCCTGGTCTGCAAGAGCTAGTTCCAGGACAGGCTCCAAAGCCACAGAGAAACCCTGCCTCGAAACAACTACCCCCCCCCATAAAAAAGGATACCCTTGTATTAGAATAAGGTTTGTCTTAATCACCTTGCCTTAACTACATCTATAAAGACTCTATTCCAAATAAGGACACATTTTGAGGTACTGGAGACTAGAACTTTAACGTACTCTTTGTATATGTGTCTCTGTCTCTGTCTCTCTGTGTAGTAGCCCGTGTTTGTGGGGCTTCAGTCAGATCCAGCCAATTTGCCCAGTTTGTACCTGAGAGAGGGAGTGTGGATTGAGAAATGGCAGGAAAAGTCACTGGGGAGATGGCTCAGAGGTTAAGAGCACTGGCTGCTCTTCCAGAGGTCCTGAGTTCAATTCCCAGCAACCACATGGTGGCTCACAACCATCCGTTATGACATCTGGTGTCCTCTTCTGGCCTGCAGGCAGAACACTGTATACATAATAAATAAATAAATCTTTAAAAAATAATAAAGATACTAAGGAAAAGATAAAGACACAGAATAAAGACAGAAGGGCAATCCAGTGAATACTGGGTGCCCCAAGTATATACACTCAAACCAAAAAGTGGGGAAAGGCAAGAGACTTCTTTATCAAGATACAGGGAACAAATAGACTTTCTTCCTTAATTCTCCAAACATTTAGTAACAATGCCTTAGACTAAATCCCTTGTTATCTGGCCTTGAGGGTTAAGAGTAACCACACCTTAGACCAAGTCTCTTGTTATCTGGGTAAGATATCCACACCTTAGACCAAACATCCTTCAGTAGCCAAACCTTAGAGCTTTAGGTCTTATGACTTTAACCTTAGAAGAATAAGGATAGTTTTGAACTCTCTGACCTTAAGCCAAGATGAAGCGAAGCCATTTTTATGGACCCCAACACCATGTGGTTGCTGGGACTTGAACTCTTCCAGGTCCTCTGGAAGAGCAGTCAGTAGTGTGTGTGTGTGTGAGTGTGTGTATGTGTGAGTGTGTGTATGTGTGAGAGAGTATGTGTATGTGTATGTGTGTGTGTGTGTGTGTATCTGTCTCTCTTGCTTCATGGATACAATTCAAATTAAATGTAGAATGTTACGATAAATCTTTCCGTCAAAGCTGCCCAAGCCCTATCGCCACGTGGGCGGTTTCCGCCAGCCGCCTGAGTTCTGCCGAGTGGATTGACAAAACAATACAGAGACATATTAGGTACAAAGCTGCTTGGCCAATGACTAGGATTCTCAATTGCTAGCTCAGTCTTAATTATCATAAATCTATTTTATAAGACTTATCTTAGCTCTTTCGGGTCTTGGATCTAAGATGACCAAGAAAAGACGGAACAACGGGCGAGCCAAAAAGGGCCGCGGCCATGTGCAGCCGATCCGCTGCACGAACTGCGCCCGGTGCGTGCCCAAGGACAAGGCCATCAAGAAGTTCGTCATTCGGAACATCGTAGAGGCCGCTGCTGTCAGGGACATATCCGAAGCCAGCGTCTTCGACGCCTACGTTCTTCCCAAGCTCTATGTCAAGCTGCATTACTGTGTGAGCTGTGCTATTCATAGCAAAGTAGTCAGGAATCGATCTCGGGAAGCCCGGAAGGACCGAACACCCCCGCCACGATTTAGACCTGCTGGTGCTGCACCACGACCGCCGCCAAAGCCCATGTAAAGAGATGTCTTCAAGAAGACAGAAGAAAAGAAACGACTTGGAAAAATAAAATGAGTCTTTATATTGCAAAAAAAAAAAAAAAAAAAGACTTATCTTATTGGACGCCTTATTGGCGTCCTCCCTTGCCAGTGGATCACATCCTGCCGCTGGAAGAGAAAGGGGAAAAGAGAGCCACTTCCTATTTCTCCTTGGTTAAATATGAGTCTCCTTGCTATGTCACTTCCTGCCTGGATCACCACTTCTCTACTACATTTCCCAGAATCCTCTTTGACTCCTAGTCCCGTCTAACTTGCTGTCTCATTGGCCAAACAGTATTTTATTCAATAATCAATAAGATAAACATAAGATAAACAACAGTACATTCCCCATCAGTAGGAGAACATGTAAGCAAGGAGAGAGGAGGAGTGTAAAGAAATTCTATCCTTTTTTTTCTATTTATTCTATGCTCTGAGAAACAAAATTTATTCATCAAAAGTTTAAAAAACTAAAAAAGTGGCCCACCATATCATATAGGATAGATCCAGCAAGTTCTCCTTGGGGAAGCTGCCATTAGTTTCTTCAGTGTTCCTGAAGCAACAGGTTTTATTCATAATACATTCTAAGGCAGTTGAGGCAATGTCCCCCACATCCTAATCCTCTCTCTCTCTCTCTCTCTCTCTCTCTCTCTCTCTCTCTCTCTCTCTCTCTCTCATTTTGCCTTTTCAAGACAGGGTTTCTCCAATGTAACAGCCTTGGCCGACCTGGAACACACTCTATAGACCAGGCTGGCTTCAAACTCACAGAGATCCCCCTGCCTCTGACTCCCACCACACCTGACACATGTACTTTATTCTTTAGAAAGAATTTTAGCTCTTCAAATGATAGGCTATGAAGACTGTTAAATGTTGAAAATACTTGAATTTTGAAAACTGGAAATAATAATTGATTGTCTCTGAATCCCAAAGAGAAACATGGCAGGAATCTGAAAACACTGAGAAACATTTGTTTTGCTGTATAATGATTTCAAAATGTATCACTCTTAATGAACAAATGTCTTTTGCCTTTTCAAAACGGACCCAACATCGGTATCTGCCCTCCCATGTGCACACACTGCATGCACACATACACACGTGTACATTCATGTGCCCATTCAAGTGCACACAGAGGCATGTGCATACGGCCTTGAAGAAACACTTATCTCTTGGTTAAATGATACTAATAAGAAACTGAGCTCTTTTTTTTTTTTTTTTTTTTTGGAAAAGGGTCAGATTTACTGGATATGGATATACTTTGATTCCCATTCTAGGGAGGGAGGTGGAGAAGAAACAAAATCAGACAGAGGCAGGAGGATCGCTATGAGTTCCAGGCCAGCCATAGCTATGGGGGAAGGGGAGAAGGAATACACAAAAAATACTACCTCCCTCCCCCCTTTAGAAGTACAGAAAAAGGAGGAAAGAGAAGCTCAGGAGATCCTGAGGTGCTGGTGACGTGTGGAGGAGAGGGCTCCGGTGCCTTCCTGCCTCTTGCCTGGGCTGTGAGTTCTGCAGACTCTTTAGCTGAGGAAAAGACAGTGTGTGCCCACATTCTGAAACCTGCAGCACCCACTTACTCCTTAATCATGGAGAAAGATGAAGACAGCCCTGGATGAGAACGTATCTGTCTTGACAAAGGCTACTTACTTATTAACTAAAGGAGTCTCATCATAGTTGTTTTTTGAACAGCGTGACAGTAATCCCTTCACCGCATTTAGATTTCCCTAAAGTTTGTCAGGAATTCTGTCTCATCCGTGGATACCTCCTTTAGCTTACCTTCTCTCTTATGACACCCAAGAGCTCATAGTTGTTAAACTCTCTCTGCCTGGGCATTTTATTACTCTGCTTGGTGTGACTTACGTCCTGACCAATTTTACTGGAAAGTGTTCAGCACTGGCTAGGGGAAGGGGAGGAAACAAGACATACTCTCTAGGGACATGTGTGCCCCTGCTCCTCAAAGAAGGGAGGAATCCCTTAAAATTCTACCCTGACATGGCTTCTCCTACACAGGAACAGTATGATGTGAGGGTATCCTGCTTTAAGACCAGCCAAGAGCCATTTTTACAATTGTACCTCTCTGCCATACAACAAACACACATACATACAAACACACAAACAAGCACACATACATACAAACACACTCAAATACACATACATATAAACATGCACACAAACATAAGCACACACATACACCCACATTCACACACACATACACACACAACACACACACACACACACACACACACACACACACACACACACACAGCAACCAAGAGTCACATCACACGGTGCACAGATGTGTTTTTGCTTTCCATCAGACATCCACAAAGGCACTGGTCTACAGAGTTGCATGAAAGAACATACTTTCGTGGTTCCTTCTTTCCCCTCTGTGCCCACAGGTACGTACTCAGCCTATACCCAAATCATAAGTAGCTTTTCTATGGTTAGGAAAGAAAAATGACATTCAAGTTAGTAATAAAAGTGGGGAGTAGGAGGGCAGAATTGGAGAAAGAACTGTGTGGGGGCACCACAGTAACAAGATGGGGTTGTTTACCTATGCGGCTGTCCCTGCAAATCAATGCCTTTCTGGTCTTCTCAGCACCCAGAGCTCCTTGTTCACAGCTCTTTGATACTTCCAAGACACAGGCACAAGTACAGGGCTGGGACAGCCACTTAGATTTGGTAGCAGGAGCACCAGCCACCTCAGAGGGGGCTTTCTGGCTGCCCAAACACTACAAAGCAGGAACAGTTTGCTTACAAGAGACCTCATTCATTCTCCCAGTCCTGTAAGCTATGACTATAGTCACTCAAGAAGTGGTTTTACACAACCAAAGACCCCATTAAAAGAAGAAAGCAAGAGTTTTCCGGTCTTACTGCATCAGCATTCTGGGTCTACTGTCCGCATGGCTGCTTCATACATTTCCAATTGATCAGAACAGCAGGCAGCAGAGAAGTTCTCAGGTGGCCTCATAGAGGTCCTTGGATCACTTTTGTTTTTTATTCTAATAATTAAGGAGAGTTCAGATGAGAAAATGTATAAAATTGTAGGGGGCTTGGTGGGAAAAGAGCTTATTTTTCTGTCCAAGACAGGTTCCTACTCTTTAGCTCAAGCTGGATTTGAACTCACAATCCTTTAGCCTCAGTCCTCCCAAGTCCTATGGTTGCTTTCACGCTCCACCACATCTGGTCTGAGAAATCCCTTTCTGGTTGGTGAAAGGCAAAAAGAAAACCTTGTTTCCTTCGTGACTAGAAGATATTGGGAACCCTCTTGTGAGGGTAAAACAAAACAATTGAGATTTTAAAACTTTCAATAAAAGCCCAAATTCAAGTTTCTAAAGATTCATAAACATTAATACCTTGGGGGATGCAGAAAGTGAGAACAAAAATCCAAACATTGCATGGTTTTGTTTTTGTTGGCTGAGATTGGATTTTTGTTTTTATGAACTATACAAGTGGTGAGGGCAAAAAACTTTTATGCCAATTTATTTCAGACTTTTTTTTTCCTGAACTCGTTTTCAAACAAAGCTGTCATCCTGTGATGGCTCTGGCTTTTCCCACCCTGATTTTCTTGCGCAGGACAAGTGGCTCATCTCATCTACATAGAAGGCGCTGGAAAATATTTTTGTGATCTGAGTGCAGCCAGAGCAAGCGCCTAGGAATCCAGAGGAAGTGGAGGCCTCCTGCCTCACACAGGAAACACTCTTCCAGCAGGCCTTAAATGCCAAATTCCAGGCTAGTTTAACGAACCACCGACAGCTCTGTAAACAAAGGCGGACAGGAGCCCGCTTCCCCTTTCCTGGGAGTCATTTTGGGGTTGGGGGCTGTGGGGAAGTTCTGGAACATTTGACTGCACCACACAGAGACCCGGGGGAAGCAGGCTCTGCATTGAAGAGCTGGAAATTCTTCCCAGAATCAAAACCATCTCAGAGGAGGTAGGAAAGAGTAAAAATGGTTGGATTACATCTGGAAAGAGCTGGGATTTTTAAGGTCCAAAGACGGCTTGATCACAACTTAGCTGGCTTCTAAACTGCTGCTTCCTGGAGAATTTTTTTTTTCTCCTATGACTTCTGCAGACTTCTAAAAACCAGTCCCCAGGTTAACACTTTGAGAATATGCAAATGATGCCGGCATGCAGCTTTGCTTCATTTCTCTTTAGCCTTCTCTCTATACATTTCTTGGCAGTTTCCTTTTTTCATTCCCGTCCTGATTTTTCTCTTCGTTCATTTTTTGTGTAAGTGTTGTCTGGGGTTCAGCAAGTGACAAAAGGCATGATCATTTAAGTCACTCTATCAATATTTCTGTCTCCTGTGAGTCCTTACTTTTAAAATGTAATTCCGGGCTTTTAGTTATCTTTAGTGGCTTAAAATGAGAATTGACCACTGGCTGTCTCATCAGTATTCTAAGGTATTTTTCTTAAAAATAAAAAAGGGAGGGGCTAATACAGGGGCTCATTCCTCATTGGTGATCCTGACTCCACCTCTTTTCTTTTAGACCCAGGTGTTCTCTGGGCTCCCTAAACCTGCAACCTCGCTATGGATGATTTTGAGCGCCGCAGAGAACTCCGCAGGCAAAAGAGGGAGGAGATGCGGCTGGAAGCAGAGAGGTAAGGATCCAGGCTGACAGACCCTCGCGTTATCAGCAATGTTGATTTCCAGTCATGATGGCTTTTTCCCTCGAAAGGACCAAATGTGGCCATATTGCACATCGAACAGTTTGCAGAAGTAGTTATGGGTGTAAAAATAGTTTTCTGTTAAGAGTCTAAATTTTGCACACAAAAAGTAGAAAATAAACAATTTTCAGGAAAAAGGGGAGATTGGAGAAGAATCAAATAATTGCATTTTTACCAAGGTTGTACATTGTAGAGTTCGCAGTGGTAAAAGGCAATGCATAAGCAAAAGCTTCAAACCACGAGTAATACTGGAATGGCAGAAAATCTGAATATCGACTATCAGAAGCAGCTTAGCAAGCCCCACATGAGTCTGTTTCCAGTTTTATTAGTATTAGAAAAGCATCACACCTGGTCATCTGCACCAGGAAGGTTAATACTGATGCTCTGTGTTACTGGGGAGGATGCAGTTGTCATAGTATACATAGTATATATAGTATATATAGTATATATAGTACATATAGTATATATAGTATATATAGTATATAAGGCCTTTGAGGGCAGGTTGGAAAAAGGCAGCATTGGCATGCAACATACAGGGTGGAAATGTGTATCTTAACATTCAGACTTCAGACCAGAGGACAGTGGTATTTGAATCCCTTAGATCAGGTGTTTACGGAAAGCAGGCCAAGTATTCACAGGGAGAAGACGGTGCCATGGTTTGCATGCCTATAATTCCAGTGCACAGATGCAGAACAAGGCGGGTGCATGCGACCCCCTTACAACCTTGTAGTACAAAACAGAAAACCTAAACCTGTAACAAAAGTACTCTGGCTTCATGCTCTTCTGAAGAATCCCAAAGAAAGGGGCAAGTCTGGCCTTGGATGAACCCGGCTTATCATGGGGTGTCTACGCCATGTGCTCATTGCACTGTGGACTAGGGCTCACATAGTGGCTCTGCCACGTAGCCACGTGGCTCTGAGCAGGTGACCTCTAAGGCACAGTTGTCTTATATAAAATCAGTGTAATATCTGCACTTCTGTGGTTATCATGAAGATTATTGACCTTTATAAATGGCCTTACCCTGTAGCTGACACATAGCATGCACAGCTAACAGATGTTATTGTTGTTATTAATGATATTCTTAACCATCATCACTAGTTCAGTGATAACCAACAGCCACATAACCGGAACTAAATATCAATGCCAAGAGAAGGAAAGGCTATCATCAGCTTGAGATGAAAGTAGTCACAGAAAAGCTTTGGTGGGGGTGGAGAGTGGTAACCTGTGGAGGAAGCAAAGATGGCGATAAGTAGAATGGAAGCTCCCCAGATCAGGAGAGGGAGCATGAGAGAGGGAGGAAGGGGAGATGGGAGAATGCGTCTACCATACCAGATGTATCTATCCAAATTCATAAGTAACAGTTAATAAGCAAACATTTAAGACACACAAAACTGAGGAAATAGCAGAAGGACCAGCAGTTGCCAGCAGC